ACCAGTCTCAGAGAGAATGTGTGCGTTGCCATTGAATCTAAATTCAAATCCACCAATTGGCATTTGTATGGATATACATTTTCAGACGGTCCCTTTATTTACGTTGCTGTTGCAATGAACCGCTGTTTGATAATAGCAGGAAGACCGATGCTATTTTTCACACACGGTAACAGTATACTGATGATGATCAGTTTTTATAGCATAGACACATTGACGCATTCCAGCTTTGTTTGCTCGTAAAACGAACATAATGAAAATGATTAATAAAACTTTGTTTTTTGGTCTGTTTCCTAGAATAAACATATCACCTATGACCATCCTAATAACTGAAATTCAAGTTTCATCCAAATCAATATTTCTGGGTGTTGTTTGAAATTATCCGAATTTTGCACTGAAACAGAAAGTGGTATGCAGTATCTTTTAGGGTTGATCGCAACCGATTGAGTGTGTTTTTATCGTCCTAGCCTGGAAAGCGAGATTCATCTACTCTACCTAAAGGCTCGGTGCTTTCCTTCACGCCTCGTGAACACATCATTTGTTGAACGCCATTTGGTTTCCTATAGCTCGAAGCGGCTACAACGAATAGGGCGTGGCGCACCAGACAACCGCTGGGCATGCGCGATACGTTTTCCAACAAACGAAGTCTTCTGATCTGATTTCGATTTACTAGAAAATGTACCCCCGATGAACTTGTGCATTTTGGAGTTTATCGGGTATAAATTTGCTAACGCGTTGAATTCAGATTATTAAAATCCCCGAGGTGAAACGCACATGGTTTACAGGCCTTGATGTGGCTGGAGATATCGGGTTTTGTTCATTTAATTTGATCCCAAATTACCCCTAATGCTTGTATGGGTGCATTTGGCCAAGGATGACTAGCCTTAAACCACGAAACCATCAACATCCATACTAACGCTTTCGGAGAATCTCCAAAGGGAAAAGCAAATTTATGAACGCTAAAACCTTCAAATCCGTCGATAGTCCGTCTTTTGTTTATACCAAGTGAACTTGGTTGGATGTGAATCAAAACAGTGTTTTAGCCCCAAGATATACATTAAAAAAACAGATGAAAATATGGCATTTGAAAATGTTCCTAGTCTACTTAGTCGGATGCATGCGTTCGAGTTATGCCAAACATTACATTCAGAAACACTAATCAATAATATGTTGTGGAATATTTTCACAGGGTTTACTTTCCAACAAACCAAAGTTCATTTCCACTCGAAACAATGTTTTACTTATTGAGTGTAACCCACAGCGTATAAGGAATAAGGAATGTGTCAGACAAAGGGTGAAGGCGTAGCGGTAAGGCGATTGCTGATTCATCGAATAAATAACAGTCAACAAATTAAGTTAATTTGGTTGTGTTTTAATTTGAAATACTCCGGGTTGCAAACATGAGGTGTAAACGTCTAGCACGAGGTGCCCTTATCAGAGGTTGCCAAGCCACTGTTCAACGGTAATAAGCGATTCAGTCTATTGCATAACCCGGGTTATGACTCGGTTGGAAACATTCACAACCTGAATAGTGCTGAGATGAGCAGGGTATGTGGCCTGCAACAAAGATGGGCTATGCTATACCTTGTAAATGGAAAATGAAAAACGGTCCGATCAGGTTCCCAGTGGTCGAGTGGGTAGTACGCTTACTTCCTGCCTGTGAGGTCACGGGTTCGAGCTCCAGTTGGGTTGATGGATTTGTGATTTTATTTCTCGATTTATTCTTTAACTAAATTTCATCTGGTCCAGACAATGCAGGCAAAATATCCAAACAGACGCATGCGATTTGCCTCAGCCTCCACATTTATTCGAATCGTACCGCAACTTTGTACTCTTTGTGACACGACCACATGGCAACCGCAAGCCGTATCGAACAACAGGAACGTACGTCTAATTCTGCTATGAATCCTCACTACTGGGACTTTAATCTCCATGAAACACGGGAGTATAGCACATGCATACCACGCGCTTGACAGCCTTATTCAATTCACACGCACATGCACATATTTTTCTATTGTAGGATGTTTTGTGGACACCATTTAAAGTCCACCAACTTTTGAAGCTATCATACAAGTGTGTATACAGGAGTGAGAGAAAGAGCATGAAAACGGCGCATAATCATGTCGACCCAGCATTAATTTCAGAGTCCATGTTCAGTGAGCTACGAGCGCGGCATACAGAACAAAACCCAACGCCCTAGAACAAACAGACCGGTGATTGTGTGCTGATCATGATAGCTGTGTTTCTCTGTGTACGCGTGAGTTGATACACGAGTTCTAATTCTGCTCGCTCTCTGTGTAAACCCCTCCACGCTTCATGGGAATAGACCAAGGTTCATTTTCGACCAAAGATGAGACCGTGGCACACAAAAAACTTGACTATAAAAGTGTGCACCATTGTACTCTAGATCATACTCTGTAACGAAAACCTTAGTAAGTTAACTTAACTCATGTATGCTACGTTTCCATTCTGACCAACGTCTTATTGACTAATGCAACAGTTTGATAATTACGTACAGGAGCAGCAATGCATGATTTGAGCATATATTTTGACCTTTCTGGATCACGAATGTAGGTGAGATTTCCTTGACCTATCTGCCAATCGACCTCGGGAACTCAAGTCGACGAATTGCCACTTAACGAGATTGGAACAGCCGTACAGCAGTCCCTATGCTTTCGGTTTTTTGTTGTATACAACAAATGACCTCATCCACCAGACTCCAAAATTTATACGCTGAATTAATCAAACATGAACTTCATCACCATAATGAAACAAGGTTGCAGCAAACAATTACTAATGTTTGCTTATTTCCTAATCTTTGGAATCTGAAAAGTGTTGTCTATCAGTATTGTTGGTCGGTCACTGATGTTACATGAGTTTACGTTCCTGCTTATTCCGGTGAAGATATCGAATCTGTTTTGCTTCTGATTACTCTAAGGAGTAATCAGATTTTTTTGGTTACATGGAATGTTGGTTATACAGTATATTGGATTTCAGATAAGTTATTTATAAGTTCCAAGTCGAAAATCGATTTATTTGTTATTTTTAGCTGCCAAACAGTCTATTGTGCAGATCATTATTTTTGTTTTATCTGCAGCAATAAAACTGAAATATAATAACTGGGACCTTTATAGGCGTACGATAATTTTGGTGGAGAGATATCACATATACAGCGCAGATACAGCACGGTGACTAACTGGTGTTTACGTAAACCTAACAATACTGGATCAGTTTTGGTAAGGTAGCGCACGGGTGTACAGCATTACTGCCTTAATCCTTGCGATCACATTTCTAGTGAGTGAGCCAGCAAAACTGGCATCTATTTTTGTTTTTTGTGTGAAATCACGGTGAAAAGTACACCAACGAGTAGAATATAATTTGGTTATAATGTATTTTATTACAAATGCGATCATATCAATCAATCTTATTCCCAGAATGAACCGGTACACCCAAGGTATGAATAACAGCTGTAATATTACTTAATACATTTAAAGAACAATACACAACATGCTATTATCCCTAAAATGAAGATTTTATACCCTATTTTCCGAGTTAAAAAGGATGTAACGTTGGCATAGGTTTTTGTGGTAAAGTTGATCTAAAGAGCTTGTCTGTTCTATGTCACAATTCATAATTTTTCTAAAGTGTATTTCTAACGCGAATGAATACTGGCAGACACGATCCCAATTCGCTGCTTGTACCTGCATGTTTCTTTGGTGAACCTTGCATTTCAGCTTCCAATGTCACGCATCGATAAAGGTTTCCAAGTGGGTCTTTCATGGGTGCATGACCATGATGGGCACGTACCACACAACGCAATCGAAGCTGGTGACGGTATCTATATTGGTCGTGTAATGCACGAGGGCGATATGATACCAGCTAAAGTTGTGAGCCGGCTAAACAAAGCCTATGTGCCTTATGGTGGTCGCGAGCATGAATACCACTCATATGAAGTTCTGTGTGACACCAAAGCGCCAGATACATCGAAGTGGTAAGTCTGATATGTTAGACAGACCATTAAATAGTGCTTGATTATACCGTTCTGGTGTCAAATTGTGGAATCGTTCACTGTTTTGGAAAGCAGCTAACATCCTTTCAATCAGTCGCATAACATCAAAATAGTCCTCCTGTTTTTGCAGTAACATTTATTTAAACGCCCGTTTTTTAGTGAACAACACAAAATCTAATATGCTTTAGTTTTTAACTGCTGTGTAGATTAAAACTGACCAGGTTGATCGATCTGTCAGCAGATTACGTCCAGTGAACGCCAATCTATCACAACGTGCCCTTTTGCCCTCTTTTAGTTACAAACCAACGGTTCCATCAGTTACTATATCACGGGGATAAACATCCCGGTCAAGACTGGTTTATGTACTGCAACATATGTCGAGGGCGAGGGTCACCTGGGAATAATCTTTTGTGGGTTAAAACAATTTGATCCGACGCAGTTCACAAATTTCTCGCCCATCACTTGTCCAGATGTTTCTAAATGTAATCAATACGGTTGTAGCTCGTCAAACAAATGGAGTGTTTCTGATTGATCCACAAAATGCAGAATTTCTATGAAAAACACGGAATCGAAACAATGAATAAAAAGGCCGATCTATTCATTGTACTGTCTAAAAGCATACACATGGTCTCCCAAAGTAGCCCTATTGAATTGGAAAACATGGGATATAATAATATTTGTAGTAAAATTCAACAGCTTGAGTGCAAGAAAAACGCGGTCTAAGGACACTGATATTTTGATCGGTTGACCTCGAATGCCTTTCAATTCTGGCCAAGAAAATTCACTTTCAATGTCAGTAAGCAATCACAAGCAAAGCCGCCTCAACAGAACTGTAAGATTTTCCAAAAAAAGTGGTTGTGACATTGTTATTCGAACGTATCCCCCATGTTTGAAGCAAATACATTTTTATAAGCAGCAGTCGACCTTTTCAACACTGAACACGGAGAGCTGACGCCATTTGCCCTTGTGATTATTTGGAAGTTAAGAACAAAACTCATTTTCATTTTGTAGAAACTGGTCCGTGAGAACCCTATGCGGACAAACAGTAACAATTAGGTGGAGTTGTTGACTACCATGTTCATTTTTAATGCTCACTTAATCGCTCGGATTGAACTAAAACTGGAATAAACTTCATTTGCGCTCTCAATATACATTCCCAATCAAAACAACTATCTTATACTCCTAATATGTCGTAATAAAACAAGAAATGTTATTGATCTTTAAACTATAAAATAAATTCTAGGTAGTCCATTACTGCACTAGTGAGTTTACGTTACTTATATTATTCGATCTCCAGTAGAGAATGTGTTTGCCTGCCAGTGTATATTTACAATAATTTGTTTTTTGTTCAACTGATATAACACAATTTTATCTCGCAACAGACCATGTTATTTTTCAAACACATTACCCATCAATTTTCCTCATTCCTCAGCTATCACTGGGAGCGTGCGTATAATGGAAATGTTCCTAAATATGCCATCATAGCTGGTCTTTCTGAATCCGGTGAATGTTTGTACATTGCACGCTCGGAAATCGAAGGCGAGTGTGTGGTTGGGAAGGTGAGTTCTGCTGCTTGAAAGTGTTTGTAATTATTAACGGAACTGACTCGACGAAGTCTCTTTCATTTCGCTCGTTTCTGCAATGCGTCTGTTTTGGTGGCACGCTATAATACATATGTACACGTGTGACTGAGTGCGAACAAAAGTAGATAGATGACCACGACTGATCTGTTCTATGGCGCGTTTTGCATTATATATGTGAAAACCGCGAGAGTGTGTTGTAAAATCCATCAACGAACGAGACAGTTTCTTGCGAACTTAGAGATACTAATTGTCAACTAGGAAACAGATTTTGTTCCTTCGACCCATTTGCTTATCACATATTCTGGACATTTTAATCAGAAGCATTAGTGAAAAGCAATTTGAATAATTCGAGCAAGAACACCTAACGAGATTTTATTGACAAATGTCAAATTACTCCTCATGAATATTGGAGACTTTTTTCAAACATGAGTAAATTGTTACTGTTCAACTGTGTGAATAACATAGCCAGTTTCAAGTATTCAACGAAGCGCATTGTAATCTCTTTGTCTTGAATATGTCTCAGTAACAACGGTCTTGATCAGTGTCTCGGAAGTAGTATCTAAACAATTTGTTTCCACAAACGGATTGAGTATTTTTCCAAAGAAAACAAAGCAATTATTGTTTCTGTGATGCAGAGTATCTTTGACAAATAAGTATTTCATTTTCATCACCCAGAGCTTTCTTGATTCTGTTCAATCCATAAAAACGTCTGTTCGATAGATGGCAATAAACAGATAGTATACATACACTAATTTAGGGTTCATTGGCTTTCATGGGCAACGTTTAGTATTTCTCCACATATTCGGTTGAAGATTACTCAGACGATTCTGGGTAACTTCGTTCTACATTTTGTAACAGTAATGCCTATAACTGTAATAATGACAAAATTATGTTTATATGTTCCTGGGGTGCTTTTCAAACCACCACCTCTGTTGTTCGTTCGCAGTAAGCGTGATTTTACTAGACCCATGTTTATTTTCAGTCTGAACTTGTTTCCTCAGTGGTTGATTGTTTGTTAGTCTTTCATCAACTTCAAACAAGCGGAATAACATGTGATTTTGCGAAAATATGATACATGATTCTCTGGTTGTTCACATGTTTCTTTCTGTACCTCAGGTTCACCAGGGACATGATTCCGCATATTTCCCCTATGGTGGTCGCGAGCACAGGAAAAACAGCTACGAAGTGTTGGTCATGAAGAAGTAGCCCAAAGAGAAGCAAATTTTTGAGCACGATGTTTTCCCACTCTCCGCAGGTTATGTGAGCTTGAAAAAGACCCTGTGAATGTGTACAATCGTTTGACTCAATATGTAAACTGACTGTTATCATTTTGGAACAAACCCATGTGCTTGTTTCTGAAAACCTCCGAAAGAATTTCATTTCGTTGGGGAAAACGGTTATATTTTTTAATGCATTGAATTCAATAAAATTATTCCAGTACTGAATACATGAAAGACTTGCAATGCACACATCCATAGGATTCATTCATGCCTCTTCGCCAGTTCAATTGTTTTCCGTCAGGTTGCTGATGGTCATTATTTTTAGTTAAATGATTTTGAAAGCAAATCAAGAACGCATCCGTATTTTGAGAAAGTGATCCATAAAAATTATTGGTAACATTACTGGTATATATGTTTAGGAACTGCCACAATTCGCATTATGGACTCTTACTCGGTCCATGCATTTCAGAATCAGTATTCGTGATTGAGTTCCAGAGCCAATTGCAATGTGGACCTGATTCCTTTTTGAACGCCTTTAGGCACGATTGAACAGCTTTTCTGACAACCTTCCTTTGGAATAATGTTCCAACCATTTTTACGTTTACCTAAACGGTTCCTAATTGATCGGAAATATCTTCACTGATAAACACAATGTCTGTTGGCATTATGGGTGATGATTGCAGTTTCTAATATCTATTTTGAGGAGGTGTTGTGCCGTATCACGTAGAATGTGGGCAACTAAATACCAGATTTGATATACCCATTGAGGTGGGCATGCTCCGAATTGATATTGATTATTAGCGTAACTGGTACGCTCTACTGTTCTGTTCATATTGCAGCTTGTCTCGAAATGGGAAAACATTTTCTAAATGCCAACACAAATCTTGCACTAAAGTGAATAAACTATGATATCATATACGTGGAGATGTAATAATCCAACTTGTGTTATTTATTGCCATTTCTCTAAGAAATAACCTCAAACCTGTATTCTGTCAAAATGAATTGAACGGGGAAACAAAAACCAATTTGGTTAATTTAAGGTCACCAGGCTCATTGATTATTGATATTCATGTTCGCATGTGCAACAGATAAGTGAAATGATTCAAAATGGCGTTTCTGTAATGCGAATGAAATTTAAAATATGGAGAACGTTTATGATTCACCAATGGGTAAAACGCGGGTTATACTTCAATTATTAACTTTTTTTCACTTTTCCATAGCAGTTGACTAGAATGATGGTTCTGACTTATTTGAGATACTGACCAATAAGTGGAACCTTTGTTGTTTTGTCTTGTAATCCGTTGAATAATATGATCCTCATAAAATGTCGGAAATGCATGACAAGGTAAAGCTTTCTTTGAATGAACGGTAATGTTAAAAAACAAAGAAAAGGCACAGGTTTTTCAACCTTGAGCGTTTTATACCTGAACATTATAGGCGAAAAGTGTAGTTGTTTTATCAGAAAATTAGTGGGACTTATTTGTCCGATTAAAACGGGTTTCATGCATATATCGTCGTGAAACGTAGTATCAAACCGACAGGTTGACTATCTTCTCGATACAATCCAAGCCGGGCCAGCTAGGACACTCGTGATTTTTCTTTCACAAAATTACCGAAATAAGCATGAATGAATTCCCTGTGTACTTCAATCTAATTCATTTGGACTCAGTGTCCATTGAGAAAGCTAGTTTTGTTTCGTACGCTGAGCAAGACAAATAGACTGCAAACATTTCATCAATGTTTGTTGTGTCAGTTCGCTGTTATCATTATTACACAACTGCTCTTTGTTGATCCATTTCATGTCTCCGTGAAAACAACACGATGTTATTTGCTTTTAGTTCATTTCTTTAGTTTTCGAGATAATGTGACCTCCCGTGATTAAATCAGTTTGATTTGTGAGAGAAACGTATTTGCCGTTTGAAAAGGCTTCATTTAGAGAGCAGCAACAACATGACGAACAAGATTGTTTCCAGCTTTTCGTAATCATGCCTTTACATGACATTCTATATGACTAACAACAAGAACAAACAGGGAATGAGAGACTCTAGTCCTAATGTTTCAGCTCTGACTCCGATCATATGCATATGTGTGCTTCTGTGAATTTGAAATGTAAGTGTGCAGATTTATTCACGAAAACAACATCCACTTGTGCATTACGCGGGATGAACTAAAACAATTGTTATTCGTATGGACGCATAACGTCCAGGTTCAATTCAGTCGTGAATTATAACGCCAGAAAAATGCGGTTATAATGGTCATTATTCGCTGACACCTTTATGGTGAAACCTGAGAGCGATCCCATTGAGCCTTGTGTCAGACAGTGTACCCCATACAAACGAAACGTTTCAGATGTATGATGAATAGCAGATGCAAATGCGGACAACAATCGGATGTTCAACACTGCCTATCGGAACGTAAATTTTACTCTGGCAACAGACAAGGACCAATAGTCTAGCGTTTCTGAACGTACTCATAAGACACCGCAGCGATAGCTCGGTGCATAAAAAATAACCTGGAATGGACAGTATGTCCATTTACATAATTTTGCCCCTCTTCAGAGAAAGAGAATTATAATTTATTCTTGGATTCAAACAGCGAAGAAAATATACAAGGCGAACCCCATCGACAATGAACTTTAGTTCATACATTGTTTTTCGCAGAATGGCTAACTCGAACGATTTATCGATAGAGCAATGCTAGAACACGAGGAACGGCAAAGGAAAAAGGAGCATTGAAGAAGTCTACCTATGTGCATCTGCTATTCAAGGGGGATAAGGAGGCGGAAATCATTCAAAGGAAGCTCACAGTTAATGTAAGCAGAAGATTTTGCACTGCACAATTAAAAGCTGTGTTTGCATCCAAACCGATTATGGGTTTCCAAATGAAGGATACAGTGCCAGATTCTACAGACTCATTATGTGTATACTCATTCACCTGATCCTATAGTACTAGGTACATTGGTCGGACGACCAGGTGCTTATCCGATCGCGTTCGCAAACTCCACCGGCTTGGATGGGGGAAAGAACAAGTAAGACAATTAAGAGCGCTGTGTCCGCATCTCGTTGAGTCAAATCACTCGGCGCGTTCCGACCAATTTAACAGATTCGACGTTGTTAATCGAGAACAGTGGAGCATTGTATCTTAGTCAAGCTAGAGGCCATAATTATCTTGATTCACACACCCCTCGCCACCCTCACGCTAGTGCGCCCAGAAGAAATATGTGCAATCATTTCGTCTCCCCTAGCCTGATTCATCCACTCAAACATGTGTGTAATCAATTGGAATTTCGACACTCTGATCAATTCCACAGAAGCACACATGCACTCCTGAGTGGAGCCAGGGTTGAACCATTAGGATTCAAATCTGATTCCCTGTTTCTTCTTGTTCTTAGTCATATTTACTGTTATGTAAAAGCATGACTACGAATAACTGAAAACGAGCTTGCTCGCCTCGCGGTTGCTACCCTCCTTGTGTTCCATGGGGCTAATGGAACGTTTAAAACATCTTTTCCCTCCAACGTCTGATTGCAATCGTGCAGTTTTACTGATATAGAAATGCACTGTTACTCAACGTCTAAACTGAGTAATCATTTTCAGGCATTTTTTCATAAATATCATGTTGTTCATTCAAGGAAAGTTCGTACTATTGTTCTGGTAGGGTAACGAAAGCGAAAATTTGGCATTAAGCCAATCGATATGAATCCACTATCTTTGATCCGAAATTTGTAAATCGAATTACTATACGAATGCAAAATTGTCTATCAACCAAAATCTTATTATATGCATCACAAACCCCATTGATAAATAACAATGCAATACAGTAAGCATAAATCCAAAAGTGACTGTACAAGAACTTCTTGACTGGGTGGGGATGAACGATGGATATGCTTCACTGCTGCATTAAAAGATCCTTTGCAATTCTGAACATCGCAAAGACGGAACAACCGAACAATCACATCCTTATAAAAATCTCGTAGACCTTAAGTGGTTCCTTGTTTCATTTTATGTGCAGACACTCCTATCTTGATTTGTAAATATTACGTGAAGAAATACCTATACACTGAACCTTACTACGCTAACATTCGATGACGTTCGTCTTTTAAATAGTGAAATATAATGAAAACATTCCTGCAGTGCGTTTTACGGAGTTATTCTCCTAGCTCATCAGACAACTTAAGCGAGGAGTGATATGTACCTCGGTCATCTCTCACCTCTCAAAAGCCATAACAAACCAAGAATTGAGTGGTGGTGGCGGTGGTGTGAGTGTCTAACCACAAAGCTTCTCATGGTCTGATAGAAAAAACAAATTATAATATTATGTGCAGACGTACCCATGTTAGTTAGCGAAGAGGTGTGTGCCTATTGCTATTTGACGCGATATGACTGTGAAAGTTCATTGCTTATGGGGTTAATGTTCAGGGTAAGGCAAAGTTCGGGGTGCAATGAGGGTCACCCGAAGAACGGTTTCATCAAAGGCTTGTTGTATGTCAAAAGATACAGTGGCCCTAACGAAAGGCCATTGACAGATTGCAACAAGTATGAGTTAAACAAACTTGTAACCTGTAAACCTATAAATTTACAAAATAATTTTACATTTTTCTAATGGTAAGAATATCAAACAAAAAAGGTACATACAAATACAAAGTACAATCTTCTTTGGGACGATGCGTGAGCCAACTGTGCTTTACATTCAGTGGACTATATTCCATGATGAGGTCACTGAACTGAATCATGAATTTCAACCACTCTTAATTACACCCAGGTATCACTCAGGAGAGAGTGCTGAGCGGTCGTATGGCAGCCTAAAAATAATTTTCCACCGTTTAATACAAATAACATTGTTAACAGTATTACACTTTCCAGCCCATTAAAAATTTGGTCTGAATGTTCAGTTAATGAAACTGGCCAGCTGTGCTTTGAGTAGCAAATCGATTAATCCAAATGTGATGACCATGGAACCAGGTCTGAAGACGATAAAACTGCACTG